TGTGATTCTCCTTCGGCTCATCAGTTTTAACCGGTGTTTTGTTGTCATCCCCTTTGCGCTGATCCCCTTGGTCTGGGTCCGGTCTATCAGAATTCCTCTCTTCCATGTCCTCTGTTTGAATGTCTAATACATCGCTTGTGGTTTTTAGATGTACTTCATCCTTACTTGCTGTTAAGCTTAAAGAAGACGCAACTTTTACCTCTTCCTCCGCGGTACGCTCACTTCTGTTGTCCTTCTCCTTTCCCGTTTCCTTCGTTCCGTCAACGTCCGCTTCATCATCATTGTGTTCCTTCACGCACCTCTCCTGCGACTTCTCATCGTCATCTACCTGTATGTTCGCCTTTCTCTTGGCATCCGCTGAATCTGTTTCGGATTTGGTTTTCTCTTCGATCTTCTGCTGTTCCTGTTCGGCTTGCGGTTCCTCGGGCTTGTTGCCCATTTCCTTTTCGACCGATACCTTGTTATCGATATCGGAATTCTTTTTGGTGGAACTCGCTTCCGACTCCGTCTCCGCCTCTGCTACCACTATCGCATCTGAGCCATTTTCTACTTCCTCAGGTATGGTTTCCACCTTACGCTCACTACTTTTCTCCCGCTGACTGCTAGCGCTTTGGCGCTTTTTAGGTGTCGTGCGTGTGGAGCGGCTTTTGCGCACTGGCGATGCGGCGGCATGTTCTTCACTTGACGCTCGCTGTTCTCTGCGCTCCTCATTGATTTCTTCAATTATTGGAGGCGCTTTAGTTTCTTCTATTTTTTCTACAAGCGTCTCATCCTCGGTTTTTTCATTTTCCGATATTTTACGTGATCGGCGACTGCGACGTGCCGGCAAAGGTGCAGGCGATGTAGATTTTTTTCGTTCGCTACGACGTCTCATAGCTGTAACTAAAAAAATACTGCTCTTGCCGTACACTTATGCCTCTGATGATAATACACTAAAATAAAATGCTGTTGCACTTATTTTTAAAAGTCGGCAGTACGCGATTAAATAGCACGCACAATTGATTGCTTAATTTGCGGCGTGCCCGTTTTTGATTACTCGTAAAAGAAAATTTTGTTGCCAGCGAAAAGCGTCAATCCGCCATCAATAGGTAGGGTTGCTTTTTTCAGTTGCAATCAATGCTTCTAAACTATCGCATGTTCTTACTATCGATACTTTTTTTTGTACGGTAAATGAAATGGTGTACAGTATGTTTATCTGGATATACTGTTACTATAATGATAAAATTAAAAATGTATTTTGATTAATTCTGTCTAGTTAAAAAATCTACAATTTATTGAATTTCATAAAGATTTTAATTCAGGTTCAGCGATAACAATTAAGTGGCAATTAGTCCCTTAGATGTGTCGTATTCAATCATTAAAGTAACAATATGAATTGAAACTTAAAAAAATGAATGTAAAATTTGTGTTTTACCTACTATGTTCTTAATTTTTAATATTGTATTTTTCAAATGCGTTAGATACTAATAAAACAGTAACTGCCCGTTCTTTACAACACTGTTTTGACTTATATTTCGTAATTGGGCTAAACAACCCAACCGACCGACCGAGTACGCGGATTGGTCATAAAAATTACAAGTTAATTATAGAATGCATTGCATTTCAAAATGATGGTAAAGAATTTTGGTAAACTAGCACAGGTGTTGTGCCGCACGCGTTTCATGCGAGCCATGGTTGTCAGTCCACATGACTATACAATCAGAGCGCATATCGGCTACAAATCCCTGGCGCAAGAATCACGTACATTGGGCTCTGTTTACATGGATCAGCAACAACAGAGGCAACGACATCAGGAGCAGTCTGAACAAAACTCCAAATATCCTCACACCGGACTTGTATTCGCGGCCATGTTTAGCTTTAATCTGTTTGGCGACGGCGAAAAAGAAGAGGAGACGCCTGAAACGAAGCTAGTGAATACCATAAAACGTTCAATACTATGCATACAGAAGGAGCAGTACGACAAGGCCGAACAGATGCTACATCTGGCGCTTCGCATGGCCCAGGATATGCGATCAACAAACGGTATTACCTATGTGTACGATGTAATGGCCAATCTGGCCATGGAACGGGAGCAGTTCAAAAAAGCCGAAACCCTCTTTGTGGATGTAATGAGACGCCTAATGGCCGATGGCCATACGGAAGATAGTCCTAAAATATTGCACATCAGCTCCAAAATAGCGCATATGTCACAGCTACAGGGTGATCTAGTGAAGAGCTTTCAGGGCTTCCAATGGACGCTGCAACGGCTGGCCAAACTAGTGAAGGAAATGCCCGAGAATAGTGATGTACTGGAGCTGTATGGTTTGACAAAGAACTGGTATTGAAGGTTGTTCCATGCTTCCTCTAAAATCGAAACCAAATATTCATCTGAATAGGATTTGACTAACAAAGCAATCGTTTAAAAACGCAGGTTTGGTCAACTTCTGATGAAGCAGGGCAAATATGAGGAAGCCAAGAACCTGTTCACAGAGGCTCTGAACATTCTCGTTGACGTCTACGGATACCTGAACGATGCCTCAGTCACTATTTTAAATAATATTAGCGTAGCTTATGTAAATGTAAGTCGCATTTAAAATATGTTTCAAATAATTTCTCACCATAAATATTTTATTTAATAGCTTGAAAAGTATGCTGAAGCCAAGGAAACGCTTTTACGCGCACTGAACATAGCCAAGGAGCTGAAGGATACCGCCCAGGAAGGCATCATTCAGGCTAATTTGGGCTTGGTTTATCTACGCGAAGGCCTGCTTGCTGAAGCCGAGGACTTTTGTAAGCTTGCCTGGAAGATTAGCAAGAGCAACTCGAATGCCGACGCTCTGGAACAAGCCGAGTATTGCCTGAATGAAATAAAATCATACATGAAGGGTTGAACAGCAGCTGACTAAAAAAAAAACAATTTTAACTTTGTTAATCAATTTGTTGAATTTAGATAGAAGATTAAATCTAAAGACACATTATAATATCGCTATTTCATTCCGTTTCTATGAATTCATAGTTACATTTTCCTTTTTTGTTTTACATATTTTTCTTTTCAAAGTGTATTTTACATGCCCACATATTTGTTATCAGGAAGTACATTCGGGCCATATTTAAGAATCTAAACGGTTCCACTCATTATTCAAACTTGGCTATAACAATCATCAGGCCAACGCCTGTAAGTAGAGCCACAATTTCCTTTAAGGATTGCTTCAGCTTCGTCGACTCCTCCAACAGCTCGGGCAACACACTCACAGTGGCTATATAAATGAAGCCACCCGCTGTGAAGGGCAGCACCCAGGGCGCTGAACTGCCATCACTGCTGCCCGCTCCAAGTAGAGCCAAAGCTGTGCCCGCCAAAGCGCCCAGCGCCGTGACCAGCTGCAACAGCATAGCCTTACGACGCGAGCAGCCCGACTTGATGAGTATGGCAAAGTCTCCGATTTCGTGCGGCACCTCGTGCAGCAGTATGGTGATGGTGGTGACTATGCCAATGCTATTGCCTGCCAGATAGGAGGCACCAATAGCCAAACCGTCGGTGAAATTGTGCGCAAAGTCTGCAGCTAAATTCAAATATCCAGATATTTCCACTTCACCCTCGTCATCTGCTTTTTTTGCCTCTGGTTTGGCCTCCGGTTTGGCATCCGATTTGGCCACCGTTTTGGCTGATTTTGACGCGGGCTTTTTCTTATTATCGGCGGCTTCTTTCTCCTTGACCACTGGTTTCGGCTTTGGTGCGCCATGACTGTGTCCATGTCCTCCTGATCCTGGGCCTTTCAGTATGCGCACAATTTTCTCCACGGAAAGAAAAGCAATAATGCCTCCTAGTACCCAGAGGCCGACACTCATATCATGCACATGACCATGTCCATCCTCGCCATCCTCATGATGATGATGATCGTGSGAATGACCATGCCCATGACCATGGTCGTGCTCACCATGGCTGTGAGGATGGGTTGCATGTGGTATTAAGTGTAGGAATGCATCGCCCAGCAAACCACCCGACGCGAACGCAAGCAAAACCTTAAGACGCGGCTTCATAGCCTCGCTATTATCGAGCGGTATAATGTAGAGCAGCACAAAGGGGGCAGCACTGATAAGCAGCGTAGAGCCCATGGAGTGCAGCCAAATGCTCTTTATATCTATTAGAAAAAAATCCATTACAATAACTATGTATGTTTATCAGCAAGAGGCGGCGAATGCTCACCCAGTGATGCAGGCCTTGTGTGCTCGTGATGACCATGGTCATGATGATGGTCATGATCATGGTGGTCATGATCGTGGTGATCATGTCCGTGATGATCATGTCCGTGATGATCATGATCGTGATGGTCATGATCGTGGTGGTGATGTTCGTGTTTTACCGGCGGTGCCTTTTTGGCATCAAAATTTTCATTTGCTTCGCGCGAGTATTTAAAACTGGGATTATGTTGACTCTGGCATATTGCGGGAAAGGATAGCAGTATTGCTACTAGTAAAATACCTAGCGCTACCTTCTTATAGAACTGCAACTTTGTTGGCTGATAATCAGCCAATTGTTTTGACATAGCCGTATTTCTCTATACACACGCGTCGGCACGTTTCAACTTTTTATTAGTAAGTTGTGACGTGTGTATTTTCCTTTTGCGTTCTGTTGAAGTTCGACTATTAACCAAAACGATATGTACTCACTATTGCGTGTTATCGATGCTGAGCTCAGTTTGTATCGAAAAGGTACAGTATTTTATTCGGTATTATTTCGCGTATAGCTAGGTGGCATAAATATACGTAAAACACCGTTACGTTTTGTATTTTCTTTATTTGTTATTATTTAACTGACTTGGCAAGCTATACTATTTATTTAAAGAGTCCAATCCGAATACTTTTCAGATATGGTTTACTATAATTGATTTGTTATACAAATTTTCGACTTACCCCGGCAGTTTAATTTTAAGCTGTTTTTATATTTATAACGTTATCGACGCTCAGTTTTCTTAATGAAATTAAGTTTACATTAGCAATAAGTGTTGTTCGTTAATCGTTCAATTGCAATTAAAATGCTTATATTATTAATCATTTAATCATATTTAGTTGGGTTTTCGTTGTCGTTAAACGAGGCTAATAGACTATAGACATGTGTATGTGCATGTGCGTGTGTCGACATGTTTTTGTGTGCGTGCAAAATAATTGTTGTTGTTGTTGTTTGTGGTGGTGGTGTTTAATAAATAATAAAGTTGGATAGTAAATTCATGCATGAAGTTCTCTGGAACGATTGATGGTATCAGCTGATGTTGTTGTCACGCAACATAAATCCTTGATAATAATTAACTTGTTAACATTTTTATGTTATGTATGTATGTATATATATATACAAGCCACTTTGGTTGCGTATTGCTACAGTGCACTGAGTAAGTGCTCAGTACAGATTGATCTTCTTCAGTATTGTCTTGCGGCACATGTGGCAGGTGCGTAATGTTTCGGCACAATGGGAGCAGGCGCCATGACCGCAAAGGAAGGCCACATCTCGTTTCCGTTCCATACAGATTCCACAAAAATGCGATTCCTCGAATTCCAACACTTTGTTCTCCAGATAACGCAATAGATCGCCGGATGGCAAACGCGCCTGATCGCTGGGCGACGCCGTCAATGTCGATTGATGACCAACCACTTGACGGCCGTTGGCATCGATGCGTCGCTCAATGGCAACGCCACAGCGCAAACATTTCTTCATGCGTATGCTGCATTCCTCGCAAGCGATCTGATGCAGGCAGGGCTCTACAAGAAGATATCAATGGTTACTAGAGAATAACTAGAGTCAAATGACATTTGAACATACCAAAGCGCACCAGCTGTAGCGGCTCATTGCAGACTATGCACTCCTGCTGGTTGGAAATTATTACCGGCAAAGCTGCYGCTGCTGCTGCTGTGGCACCTGCCAGCGAGGCCTTTAGAGATCCGCTTGACTCGCTGCTCGTTGCTGCTGATGTTTCCGATGATCCCGATGGTACCGGTGGCTTTGGCGCCTTCTTACGAGGCGCCACTTGGGGCGATGTACCAGTGCTGGCCGCATCCGAGTTCAGTTTCTTATTGCCCGGCGAAGGCTGCAGACCAGCTGTTGAGGTGGCCGCCTCACTGGGCTTGGGCGGCGGTGGCGGTAAAGCTAATGAGCCAGCACTAACCGTCGCACCTGCATCCTCGCCAGCAACGTTACGTGGAGTTTCATCGGCGGCTCCAATATCCAGGGCTTGCATATTCCGCTGCAGTGGCATTGGAGCTATCGTTGGATCCTCCGTTTGTTGGCCAAAGATTAGCTGTCGTATATTGCGATCAGTAATCCACTCAAAGATGCTAGCATTGGCATTGTTTAGCTCCACACGACAGCCATGCCGGGACAGATAGATCAGCACACTGTACATCAGGCGATCCACGGTGCGCACACTCGTCTGGGCGAGGCTGACGAAGAACTTGTAGATTTCGGGCGCCTCTTCGGGCGAGGGATTAGCGGCCTGCTGTAAATTGGTCCTCTTAATGACACACAAATGCATGGCATTGTCGCCATCCTCGTCCTTGGCATTGATATCGCACGACAGCTTCACCAGACGCTCAATAACACTCGCATGTCCCTGGGAAACGGCCAACAGGAATGGCGTTTGTCGTCGATTGTTGCGTATATCTAGTTCAGCCTGTCCCTCTGTGACCAATGTCTCCACCACTTTCGCGTGTCCATTTAGAGCGGCCAGATGCAGTGCTGCAAAGCCGTCATCCTTGCGCACGTTGACTAATTGGCGCGACAACTGAAGAATGCGACGAGCAGCCACCACGTTGCCCTTGAGCGCCGCATGGTGCAGCACATTGAAGCCACGATGGTTTTTCACAGTAAAATCTAAATTTGGTGCATTGCACAGCAGTTCAACGACCTCCGTGTTCTCCTTTCCAATGGCATCGTGGAGTGCTGTATCACCGTACGAATCCTGGATATTAACATTCGCATTGTGCTTCAACAGCTCCCGCACGCAATGGGGCGTTTTCTTATGCGCGCAAATGTGCAGAGCCGAACAGTGGCTGGAATTGAGGAAATTCACCTCGGCGCCATGCTCGAGCAGTACGCGCATCGTCTCCGGCTGATTGCCAAAGGCGGCATAGTGAAGGGCCGAATCGCCTTCCTTGTCCACTACATTCACATTGGCGCCCTTGGAGATGAGGTATTTCACCAGCTCGACGTAGCCCTGGTGGGAGGCTACCTGTATGCAGGCCTTGCCGCCACTCATCACATCCACCTGACTAGGATTGACATCCAGATATTGTTTCACAAAATCCAAATGACCCTGGGCCGCTTCACGGACCAGCTTGTCGGGCACCGAACTGCCAGAGAGACCCGATAGCGGTGTCATCACATGATCCGTACGCCGATTACTCAGATCCATCATACTATTGGAACGTTCCGCTGCCGTGGCCAAAGGAGAACGCTCCAGTTTAACACATTTCGGATTTAGAGTCCATTCGAAGCCATCGTCCAGCTGCTGGATGCGCAGATCACCATCGGAATATACTTTAAGCACTTTACACAGCTTGCCCAGAGCCTAATGCAAAGCAAGACGATTTAGTAATCCATTATTATTGTTCACTAGATCTAATTCAATATCTTACACAGCGCATGAGATCTATCCATTCGCCGTGTCCTTTCTGCAGTTGCTGCACTTTAGATTCATCATTTATGATTGTCACCAGATCGCCCACGCGAAACGAAACAACTTTGACGAGTGCGGCGGGGTGAAAGGTCCAGCGATTGGGACAGTTCTCATATTGGACTCTGCAAGTACATTATATATTTAATGACAAAAATTGTTAAGTGTTTGTCATGCCAACCTTATATCTCCCTTTTCGGTGATGCGATGCACTGTGCCCAATTTGGCGAGATGGTCGACCATACGCGGATTCCAGCCACCGTGTCCCTGTTGCAGCTTTATCAGTGCCTCCCCCTCGAGGCACACTTTGACGCGATCGCCCACAGAGAAGCTTGGCTTCACCATGGACACGATGGGCTGCTGCTCCTCGGGTTGACCCAGCACAGGCATATGATCCTTGTAGTAGTAACCACCGCAAGTTGCTGCTATGTACTTCAGGTCCACGTTCCCTTTGTGACCCAGTCGATAGACGTTCGTTGAACCCGTTACCCACGATACGTTGGCTACACTGCGACACGACTCGTTGTCCCAGCCACGTATTTCCATAACCCGACCCGTTTTACCCTCACCGCCGTCCTGATCGTTCCACTCCCAGTCAGGGCCGCGCACAACCTTTGCGCCCACAAATATGCCACGCAGCTGTATGCGCTCTGAGCCCTTCCTGGCCGGCACACGTACACCCAGTGAGTTGGGTGTTGTGTATCGTACGAATGTATGCTCCAAGTCGTGAATATTACCACCGTAGCAGAAGGCACACAAATGATAGTCCGTGCACTGAGCGCACTTGAACACAATGCCAGCTATGCCCGCCTTGGAGCAGCCATCACAAACGACATTTGAATGACGAACACCTTAAAGGAGCAGACACATCATTCAGTAATGATGGAACAAAAAAACAAAGAAGCGTTTCACTTACCAACTTGGGCATTATCCACAATGATTAAATCGTATTGATTTTGATAGCCCACTCTGTAGTTGGTGCGATGTCCGGAATCCCAATTGACCACAACCGTGTTCTCTGGCGAATGTGTCGATCCACAGCGTCCGATTTCGCAGACGGTACCAACGTGACCTTCCCCGTTGTCTGTTGGTTGGAAAATAAAATACAATTGAAGTACATCTCTGCAATGAAGCTCCGTTTTCTTGGTTATTCTATACACAGCAGTTCTCCCCAGTTTCCGACAGCTCGCTAGAGCTATTTATAAGACGCCGCACACCCCAAAATGTAAACGAAGTACCAAGGAAATGTCTCATCCGGCAGGCAGACTATGGCTCTTTGGTTCTTTGTCTCTTGCCAAACATCTGCCCCAGCAAACATGGCGAGTTATATAGGAATTTCAGTTGGATACACATATACGGCGCAAGCAGCTGCACTCTAAATTTAAACATCTCATCGTTCAACTTCCACGCAAGACCCCCAATTCTCGTTGTTAATAGGCAGTAGTTTGATTTATTTTTGACATACACTTTAAGTTGGCGCAGGACTGTAAAACGCTTAACACAGACAATGTTAACGCTAGGCTGTTAATGTATATTCCAGCTATTTATACACTATAAACAATTGAAGAACTGTTCGCAGATTCTGTTTCTCCAACTTCATTTATTCTGCTGCCCTCTTTTCTATGATACAAACGCTTTATTTTGGGAGATAGCTTATCAGATATCAATTGTAATATCAAAGGGCATTCGTAGGATATTAACATAGCAACGAAATGTAAGTTATAAACGATCTAGCATAAGGATTTTAGTTAACAGCTGATAGTTTACTGTAGTAGGAATAATAGACATTGAATAGCAATATTAAGAAAGGAAGTTGATATTCCTATTCGAATTAAAGACTAATTCTATTTATATCAATCTGTTCTCCCTTTCAGCAGTAAGCATACATATATTCCTGACAACGCCTTTAGTGTTCCACGTTTAAAAATAAAACATATACAAATGGCACGCGCCTTAGCAGAAGGCAGCGAAGGCAGCCGTTCGACTTCTTTTATGACAGCGAAGTAAAAACAATGCGGCAAGAGGCACATGTGTGTGCATTCTACCCCGCACCCTTGCATCCCCTCCTCGATTGAACGATTTCTATATTATGTGCGTTTAAAATGCAGAGACAGAGATTTGGGAAACATTCCGCTCTGAGTGTGGCTAAAAATAGCGTCCCGTCCTCTTTGCACTCATTGGCAGCTATCAAAGTGCGGATCGTTTAGTGTGTGTGAGTGTGTATACACACACAGGTATATAATTGTACTTATTATAAACAAATGGTTTTAGCTAGTCAGTGCCTGAAATGGGTAAACAAAAATAAGTAACGTCCTACCTTGGTTCGACCAAATCCAATTTGGGCCGCGTACAACACGTACGCCGGGCGGAATGGAGGCGCGCATTCCAGTAATTAATTGTTGCGTCTCGGCCGCCTGTAAAAAGTACATAATATATAAAGATGTATAGATAGGTACGTATTAATTAAATCATTGATACAAAAGCATTGCGGGCGGGTTGAGCAAGGAACAGGGAATATATTTGGGTCAAACGACAAAATCAGCGCATGTCTAACTGAAAATTGTACATACAAATGTGAATATATATGTATATGTATGTATTTCTATGACGCGGGGCATTTTTTTTTTTTTTTTTCAAAGAGAGAAATGCAATGCGGTTAACGCGCGTTGCATACAAATTGAACGAATTACCTACATAAATACTATTTGTTAATACTTGAGTAATTGAGTATTTTCAAAGTATTTTAAAGCAACAGAATATTGCAAGTTTTGTTTGACAACTTACTCAAGAAGCCCGGTGGCAAAAGTTTTATCCAAATTCAGCACTTTGCCATTACTACGACTGTGATATATTACAATTGAAGTAATTTTTAAAGGTTTATCAATATAAAATCAAATTATGCAGCATATTAACCCGCCTACCACATTTGAATAATTTTTAATAAAATAAATTCTAAACAATATGTGTATCGGGTGTGCCTTTAGGTATTTTAGCATTTCGTTAGTAGTCGCTGAATGACGAACTCTTAAAGTGAAATGAATTCAGTTTTTACAATAGGGGTAGAAATTCTGAATCACAATTGATAAAGATTTGAATATTATGAGCAGAAACTGGTGTCCTCAATTTCTCTGCAGCTGCAGGAGTCGTCCATAAACTGAATGACGCATGAGATAAGACATATGGATACATATACCCTATATATTAGCATATCTACACTCACATTCATGCACATAGATAGATATAGGCATGTATTTGTTGAGGAAATGTACAAATTCCATTTCAGTGATTACACATAGTTTCCACAAGTCAACAACACGCGATAAATAATTATTTCAAAATTATAACAATTTGATTGTTATTTGTTGTGATGGGGACACACACAACTTACCAATGCAATTTTTCGCTTCCGTCCGAATGTAGCACTGTGTGTGTGCTTGAATGTGTGATGGGTGGCAGTATTATAATATCGCTTTTACACTCTATTTTCAGTAATCGTCTTGCACTAAATTTCTTCTTTATGTTATTCAATGCATTTCTGTGTGCGTAAGCTTTTCGCGACTCGTACTATTATTAATTACTTTTTGTATTTGTTTTATAATACACACAAATTCGTATCATGCACAATTTGTCACACAATTAGCATAATGTGCTACTTTGTATATGATTATGTTAACTATTTAATTTAGTACAACCCGTTATCTATATGCTGCAACGTAGCGAGCATGTTAATTTAATTTTATTAACCAAAATTGTACCTTAAAGTTAATTTTACTTTAATTTTATGAATGTAAAACAGTGTGGCTGCAAATTGCAAACAAGTTAAAGTGTAGGTGTTGCAAAAAATATATAGTGAAAAAATACTAAATGCTGATGCTCCACACTTAACGCACGACTCCACACTGAACGAATGTGTAACCCCTGGCAACATATGTAAACACAAAACAGATGTGTAACACATGCATAAACGGTCACACTGTTAGCCAACAGCAAGACGCACATATTTGTTTATAATTCTTATTTTTATTTATTATTTATATTGTAAAGTTGTATGCAACATTTTTACAAAACTATTATTAGAACCATGGCAAGCAAAAAGGCAACACTGTCAAGTAAACTGGCTAAGCAGGTCAAGCCAGAAAAACCAACAGTGAAGACGGAGTTGTGGGTAAGTACTCAACATTATTTTTTAATTTGAATGTTTTCATAAAATTGCGAGCAATTTAGGATATTGAAGAATTACCCAGCGTTGCTGCTGCACGTTACTTTTCACCTGTTCAGACTCGCAAACAACGACAATTGAATTCGCTGCCAGAATCAAATGTGCCCGCCAAAAAATCGCGCCTTGCTGCAATTTCAAAAACCTCCAAAATCCAAATGGGCAAAGCTACAATTATAAAATGTGAGTTGGTGCCGGAATGTGACAAGGTACCAGAAATTAAAGCAGAATCAGCCACCCCAGTTAAGATCGAACCCGACTTCCCTAACATCAATTGGCTGCAGCATTTGGAAAATATTCGCTTGATGCGCAGCGAAAAGCCCGCACCGGTTGATACAATGGGTTGCCATAAATGTGCCGATGCGAATGCGAATGAAAAGGTTTGAAGGAGTTTGTCATATAACTTTATACTGTTGCTTAACTGAAGCCTTAATTTACAGACGCAACGTTTCCATATATTGGTGGGTCTTATGCTATCCAGCCAGACGAAAGATGAAACCACCTTTGAGGCAATGAAGCGCCTGAAGGCGCAAACTCTAACTCCTGCTCGTCTGAAGGATATACCTGGCGAGGAACTGGAGCGTTTACTTCATCCCGTTAGCTTCTATAAAGTGTGTCTACATTTTTGAATCTGGAATAAAATACATACTTACTTATATAAGATCTTTTTTTTAGAACAAAGCCAAATACCTGAAGCAAACCTCAGAAATACTCGTCGACAAATACAACGAAGACATTCCGAACAATATCAAGGAGCTATTGAAGCTACCAGGAGTTGGTCCCAAAATGGCGCATATTTGCATGGCGACGGCTTGGCAAGAAATTACAGGCATTGGCGTCGACACGCACGTGCATCGCATTGCCAATCGTTTGGCATGGCTAAAGAAGCCCACCAAGGAGCCGGAGCAAACGCGTATTCAGCTTGAGAGCTGGCTGCCACGTCCACTCTGGGCAGAGGTGAATCATTTGCTTGTGGGCTTTGGCCAAACAATTTGTACGCCTGTCAAGCCCAATTGCTCAGAGTGCCTCAACAAGGATATCTGCCCAGCTGCTTTGTTACCCAAGAAGAAATAAGAAAGCTCAAATAGAAGATAAGAAATATATTTTAAAGTCTTTAAGTGAAAAGCGAAGCTTATTAAATTGGAATTGGCATTAAGCTCAATTTGTATGGTAGAGTCAAATATAAAAATATAAAAGATAAGATTAAAGACCAGTACTTAACAATATAAAGAATTGTTCATATAAAATATGAAGGCCCACTAGAAGGCTGTGTAAATTACAAATTCAGTTAAATGGTATATAATGAGCATTAAAAATTAAGGTTAAAATTGAAAAAAAAAAAATAATAATAATAATTTTGCCAAACTTTTCAATTTTTTTGTAACTCTAAATTGTCTTAAAAATAAATAAATTCCACATATTATATTGATTTTATTAAATGCAAAGATTTTAAGCAAAAACCTTCAGAGATTTTTTATTTTAAATTAATTAAAATTATAAACAAATATGCGTTTTCTATTCCTTAATCTTGAACATCTAGTGTCCGACTTTTATATTCTTTAGCTATATGGAAATATTAATTAATATTTCAGAGCTTGCCTAGCCCACTTGGGCAATGCTATATCTATATATCTATATCTGTTCTACCCACATAGACAACTCAACCTGGACCACATATCAGCGGTATATTCTCTAATATATACATATATTCCCAGCAAGCTTTTATAACCGATGGCTAGCAAAGTTGACTTCAGCATGTGCAGCACATTCGAATTCCCAAAGTTCGATGATAGGTGATCCTTGGGTCCTGTTGCCGACCTCATCTATTGTATATTGACCTCATGGCGAGAAAGTATTATTCAATAAATTGCTGTTCATTTCAACTTGGTCGCATGAATTATGTGCACAAACAGCCGCAGTCATGGCCAAAACATCAGCAGCAGCAGCAGCAGCAGCACCAGCAACAAGGAGCCGTCGCACGTGACACCTTAAGGCTGGTTGGCGGGTAGCTGTTGGCTGTTGGCTGGTGGACTCACTGTACTCGTCCTGCCTGCAAAGTCATCAAGTTATGGCTGGCGTGCACTCATCATCAGCTTCGTTGCGTGCGCGCTTTCCTGGGCAAGGGCACGGGATGTGGAAGTTTAAGGGGATTGGACATGGGTTTGAGTTCGTTTTTAGGGGGGATTTTGAGTGTCGAGACAATCTGTGGCCTAGCATGGCTTATAAATGATGCACAGGCTGGGTTCAGACGTGCGCCCACAGCCAGAGCTGCAGACATCAGCATGCTAACCCGGCCCCGCCCCAGCCACAGCCGCAGCCCCACTCCACGCACACACAGACATAACTTTTAAGTTCGAGACTTCAACGCCCCGTTTGTCAGGCTGTAATTCAACGCTGTTTACGTGCTCTCCTCCTCTCCACACAACTGCCTTCCATTCACATCCGGCGTGTGCTGCCGGCGCCATCGCCTCTGTGTGCATGTGTGCGTGTGGTTGTGTGAATGTGGGTGTGACGGGTTTGCTATACTACTTAAGCGTGCGACAACAACAACAAGGAAACGTCCATCTGTCGGAGTCATGCGAAAATGTTTGTCTGCCTGCGCTGTCTGTGTGTTGAGTGTGCGTGTGACTTGTGTAAGCATAACAGGCACACACAAACAAGCACACACACACACGTAGACATACACAGCTGCATTGGGATAAGCAAACGCCCTGCCGTTAGCCAAGTCGCAGTCGCACAGTCAAGTGGAACTCCAAGTGCGTCAAGTGAGCGCAGCGCGATATGCGTCCTGCTCCTTACACCCGCAACCTTGCCGCCTCATTCCTCTTTCCCTCTCACTCCTCACTCCCTCGCAGTCGGCTGGCACTTGTCGCCCTTATCGCGCACCCACACTCGAAACAGTGGCAAAGTTTGCTGCAGACATCCTGTGGCGAATTATGGTGCTTTTTTGATTTAAGCCCAGTGCGGTCCTGACTGGCTGTATGGCTATATATGTACCTCTCTGCATCTTCTTCATCTTCTTCAAGCAGTCTGGTTCAGATTCACTTTACTAGTGGTCCGAGCTTTCGGGTTAGTTCTAACTAACAGGTTTATTTATCTATTCGAACGTTTGACTAGGCAAAGTTTAACGACTATTTAACGATAAGTGTAAGCAAGTATTCTATCATCCTTTTCAGCGCGACGAATTCTACACTTTCTAAATAAATTCAAGCACTAACCATAGAACACATAGACTAGACATGTAGAACAAACTTTTTCAACACTGAAAAATCTGTCTAGTAGGTCCAATCAACTTCGTATTTGCTCGGCTCTTCACTTTTAGGTTCGGGCTATGGTTAGTAATTCAAGGCAATATTTAAACAGTTAGTACTTTTTCTTTACATAATGGATTTTTTGGTACATTTGAATATCGTATTAAAAGTACTTTCAAAATCAAATCACAGCATTAAATATACTAAAATGTGGTCACATTAAGCGCATTTTAGCTAGTTCAAATTTATTCAATTTTAAAAATGCGAAAGCAGGCTATTTTGATGATCACGTTGCAGTTCCTGTGGCCTTAGGGCTTTAGCGTTTATGAGTTACATAAAGTTATATATCATCAGTTCAGGAACTGCAAATAAAAATCATAAAACTAGTGCAATTAAGCACATATTTTAGTTCTCTGATCCGATCTGCACACATAACCGCACTCCTTCTCTCTCCTCTCTGTCTGTCATTCCCTCGCTCTCTTTTGAATTGTGTATGCAACTTTTATGCAAAAATAAAAAAATCGTTATAGGGCTGCCTAGACACAGATGTTACCCACGCGGCGCCGTCAGCGTTGAATTCAACTTAGTCAGCCGCAAAACAAAAACAGGAAAAGAGAGTGGAGGCGGTGGGTGGTCGGAGAAGGGATAAAGGAGTCGCAGGGTGCGATGACGGCAACTGTATGTAAGAAAAACTAAAACGGGTCGCTTAAAAATGGCGCAGTTTGTGTCGGTGCGGGCAGCATAAACAAAATGACATAAACAGGCAACGTGCGTGGGCGGGCGGGGCGTGGTGTGACGGGTCGTTTGGGGTGCTAGGTGTCGAGTCCTTGCACGAGCGTGCAAATCCCAAGCACAGGGCACAAAACAACAAAAGTAAACTTGTGAAAAAAAAAAAATGAAACGTACAAATAAAATCCACATCCACACGACGCAAATTGTATTTTTCCTTTCTTTTTGTTTTTTGTTTTGTGCTGTGTCCATGTCCGTACAATGTCCTGCGTCCGTTCCAATTGCTGGCAACAACTGGCGGTCGCTGCCGTCACGCATCAAGCATTCATGCCAGGCAACAACAGCAACAACCAGCCACACACACACACACACACACACACACACACACTCATACAAAAAGCTTACACGCCTCCGCACGCGTCACACGAAAGCACGAAACCAATTTGAGCGCCCACATTCTCTCTCACCCAATTAGTCGCACAGACACACACACAAGCACACGCACGGTCGAGCTCACAGTCACACAAACACATGCACACTGCCCACTCTCCTTCTGCTTTATGCCATCCGCATCAGCCA